AAAAAAAAAAAAAAAAGCCAGTTCTGAGCCCACAACGCCCACCCGCACCCAAAATCCTGGGATATTGGCCCAATTCCCACCTGTCAGAATCGAGGGAGACCAGGTTCTCGTCCGCCGTCTGGCTGAGGGCCGTGTAGCCCTTCTTGAACTTCACCGACCTGCCAGGAAGCAAGAGGAGCTGAGGCTCCTGTGGGCATTTCCAGGTGGAAAAGGCAGCCCCAGAGCGGATAAATCCCAATAAACCGAGGAGCCAGGGCAGGAATTCCCAATCCTAAATGTCCCTAAAATCCCACCCCAGGCGTTGTCCGGGGCCACCAGGAGCTAAGAACAGCCCCCGGTTAAATCCTGAACGCCAAACCATTCCCCTCCCCCAAAAAAAACACAGAGAGGCAGCAGCGTGGCCCCTCGTGAGAGCACCTCCTGAATTTTTGGGGGGAAAAAAAAATAAAAAAAAGTTAAATCTTTTATTTTATCAGCTGCTCGTCGGCCACGAAGCAGATCAAAGCCCTGGATTCGTTTTGAAATCCTCCGGCTTTCCCAGCCTCCCCAAATCCACCTCAGGGAGATGTGGGAGGGAGGCGGGGGGGAAAACCCCAAAAATAATTTGGGAAAGCTGGAAGAAGCCATTAGCTCCAAAGCCCCAAATTTAACGGGTGTCCCCCCCCAGGGAGGCAGAAAATGGGGTGAACCCAGCCCGAGCTGCTGGTGGATCTAACAAAATTCAGGTGGTGGAAGCTCAGAGCCTGCCCTGAGGGGTTCCCCCCCCCACATCTCCTCCATCGGAGCCAGGATCTTTGGTTCAGCCCAAGCTTTGGGAGGAGGAAACCCAGCAGCAATTAATGGCCAGCAGCAATTAACAGCCAGCAGTGGGAGAGAGGTAAATGAAGCAGCTCTCCAAGCTGGCCTCAGCCTACCGAGGAAGAGGAGGAGGGGTGGGGGGGGCACAAAAGCATAAATAAATAGAAAAGAGAGGGGTCTGGGGGCTTCCCACAGCATGGAAGTTGCACCCCACCATCAACCACCTCTTCATCAGGTCCTAATTAATCCAGGCCACCTTGGGATCATGGAGTCCAACCATCAACCCTACTCTACAAAGTTCTCCCCTACACCATTATCCCCCAAAGCCACATTTAAACCACTCTGCCCCTCCCAATCCCTTCCCTTTTTTAACCCCCCCCCACCCCTTGGAGGTGCCCAGATGTTGCTTCTCTCCTCCCTCCCCACCCCAGCTGGACCACAGGTCCCAGCCAGGCCACCTCAATGTCACCATGCCACCTCCCCCTGGCATTGCTGAGCCTCGGGGAAAAAAGTCCCTTGGGGTTGTTTGGTGGCCACCACTCACCATGAGTAGGCATGGCAGCACCCTGTCACCCTCCCAGCTTGGGATGGGGACACCACCAGCCATCCCAGGGGACAAAGAAAGTGCTGGCTTTTGACCTGTTCTTGCACGACTCTCCCTTCCTCAAGCTACTGGATCACACAGGAGAGGTTCTCCCCGAAACAACAGGGGCAAGAAGAGGAGGCGACGGGTTTTGGGGGGATGAGATCCAGATCTTCGTCGTCGGGGACCTCGTCGAGGTGGTACCCGTCCTGCAACAGCTGCCGGCTCAGGTCCTGGTTCACTTGCTGCGGGGAAAGGGACCCAAAAAACAAAAAAAAAGGCAGAGCTGGTGAAAAGCAGGTCCCCATTTGGTTAAAATTAGTCCCACTTTAGTTAAAATTGAGCTCCCGGGGCTTGCAAAGGGGTAGGGGCATTGTGTGTGTGTGTGTGTCCCCCTCTCCGGTGCCTTTGCATGGGATGAAGTGGCACCACCACAGTGGAGGAGAAGGAAAGAGCAAAGAGCTTTTCCTGGGGTGCAGCACCCCCATACACCCCCCTCCCCACCCCTGCACCCCAAAATCTCCCCACCCCTGGGGCTGCAAAAGTGTGTGTGTGGGGAGTTTATTCCTGGTGAAGCGGGGAGCAGTTTGGGCAGCAGAGCCCTGTGGGATGGTGACAGGTAGGACACCCCAGAGGGGGACACCACCTTCTGGACCCCGAGGGGACCCCAAGGGGACCACGCCGTGGGGGTCAAAACTTGCCTCAGCAGAGGAGTAGCCCGAGGAACATCTGGATCCCAGCTCCCCATCACTAAGAGAAGAAGGAAAACGGTCAGAGCCGGTTGGGAATCTCCCCACCCACCCCCCAAAAAAAAAAAAAAAAAAGCCAGTTCTGAGCCCACAACGCCCACCCGCACCCAAAATCCTGGGATATTGGCCCAATTCCCACCTGTCAGAATCGAGGGAGACCAGGTTCTCGTCCGCCGTCTGGCTGAGGGCCGTGTAGCCCTTCTTGAACTTCACCGACCTGCCAGGAAGCAAGAGGAGCTGAGGCTCCTGTGGGCATTTCCAGGTGGAAAAGGCAGCCCCAGAGCGGATAAATCCCAATAAACCGAGGAGCCAGGGCAGGAATTCCCAATCCTAAATGTCCCTAAAATCCCACCCCAGGCGTTGTCCGGGGCCACCAGGAGCTAAGAACAGCCCCCGGTTAAATCCTGAACGCCAAACAATGCCC